CTACACATACCGTTTCAACTCCAATTGGCTCCTTCCCCCAGTAGCCTTACATTTGTAGCAGGCTCTCTCAAACACTCCAGATGGCATAGTGAAGTCATCTGTGGTATTTGGAAATGTCACTACCAGCTTTGTATGCCTGCAAAATAAATTAAATACATTATATTCACTTACTGTGCAATATGCTCTCAAATGCCTATCCATGGACAGCGATGCATCCAGGCAGGGCATGCTCATCGAGCATTGGTTGTGGCTCAGGGTGCGACCATTGACCAAGAAGTACATAATCAGTCAAGGATGCTGTGGAAGGTTAGCACTACCCTGCAGTCTTACATGACAATTTCAGAATCATGTTACTATCCCAATTTTCTTCTATTTATTTCGGTTTTTGTAATTGCCTTTCCAAGTCCAAAAATTGATTTCATAAGGAACCCCCCCCTCTCAAGACTAAGAGGAGTGTACACCCCCGCATCCCCAAAAACTACCTCAAAAAACATAAGGAGAATTTCAATCCTTCTATTTTTCAAGCAGTTGCATGAAAGTCAGTTATTATTGGAATGAACTTCTCAAATCTCTATCTTCATAATACTCATACAGTATATTTAAAATATAACTTACTAATTCTTTGTATCCTTGTAAATATGTATAGCATCATGTATCCTATAGTCTCATAATTTTTCTGGTATATCATATATATCCATATACCAATATGTAAATACTGCACAAACACTATATATACTATTGTATACTTTGCATGTTAATTTGCAGGAACCATTGGAAAAACACTTCTTGTGATGTTGGTTTCCTGAATAAATATTATCATTCATTCAACTTACCTATCAACTTGTGTATAACCACAGGATGAACACTTAAAAGTCCACACACATTCTTGACTGAATTTCTCACTAATCATTGAATTTTCTTTGAGCAAGGCATTAATGGATGCCAGTGCACTATCATTCACCCCTAGCGAACACTGCATTTTGCTTTTCAAAAATTCAAATACTTTCACACGAGCATGAAGGAGCAAATCGTTGCCTTGCTTGTTTGGACCGAGCTTTTGAGCTTCAATGAAGTTGTTATATAGCTGTTGAAGAATTGAGTTTCTTGGTTGGTATTTTTGTAAGCAGAGGTGAAGGCATCTGTTGTTCACAAGCACAGTCATAACTGAATCAAGCCAACAAAGGTTGTTGGAATTACTCCAATAGAACTGTGAAGAAGGAACCTTAGATGTAGAAATAAACAAAGATAATAGGTTTATTCTGGCATCATGTACAGTATGTACATGTAAAATAACGGCTTTAAAACTACTTATAATCCTATCCTTACTTGTGTTGTTGAATGTCTCTCAGTAGACCTTGCTTCACTTTTCCTTCCAGTCTGTTTTTGTGGGGTAACTTCAGTTGCAGAGGTCTTGCAAAGAAAGCTTTCGACAACTGCTGAACCAAACGGAAAGACACACTGGAAGAAAAAAATAAACCTGTGAAGAAACATACAATATTTACACATGACAAATCAACCATCATGCAGTCTTCGTAATTCACTTCAGCACTTGGTAATTGCCAAAGACAATGCCAAGGCATATTGGGAAAGTTCTGACTTGCCTCGACAAAAAAGTCCCCTATTTTGTCGAGGGCAAAAATAAGCCAAATACGAGGGCTGTCATTGCATAATATTTTACTCTGTGTCACACTATAATGCCAGACAGTTGTACTAGTCTTGGTAAGGGCTGATGGCAGACTTAACATAAAAAGGAGTTAAGTTAATCAGAATGTTGTTCACAGATCAAGGTTTGATGGATCAAATTCCCCATGTGTGATGCAATATAAAAACAGAAAAAACTTCAAAAGTCGTCAACCCTTCTAATTCCCCATGGCAATTGCCCAAGCAAATGCCAAGGCTTATTCAGAATGTTCTGACTCTGTTTGGCAACCCAATTTTGCCAAGACAAAAGTAGTCCAATTACGAGGGCTGGTCTTAGATTTGAAACCATCACACATCAGAAAATTAGATCGGACAACCCTTAACTTGTGAACATCCCTACGGTAGTAAAGATTAGTTCCAACTTAACTTACCATTACTGTCACAGTTAATATCTTTGTCTTGTTTATATTAATATGCAACTGACTGAACTGACTTAAAAAGTCATCATTTTTTTTAAATTCCTAGTATGCCATGGAAATTCATATTGTGATCTTTTAGCATTTTTTCTCTCAATATTTTGGTAAATTCATTTGGCATTGCTTCCTCAGTACTGCTCTCAAAGAAAGCAAGCAATAATAAAATGCCATGGTTTGGGTCTGAACTACCTGATGAAGTAATAAACACTTAGACATTTGAACAAAGGACCTCTGCGGCAAGGATATATGCCAATGCTATTGTCAGGAGCAAGAAAATGTCCTTTCTGGAAAACCAAAGTTTAAGGGAGACGTTTCAAGCAAAGCAATTGAGTATTTTTTGAGCAAGACTTAATGTGACCAGGAAGATATCCAGTGATTATAATTTCAACACACAACACTTCAAGCAAACATTATGTGTAGATATTGCCAACCAAATCAAATTAAGTTTTTCATCGACGTTTCGAGCAATACAGTACAAGGAGCAACACTAAGAATTTCACTCATGGTTTCCTCATTGAGAAGAGGAAATCATCAGGAGAATTTCACTCTGGTTTCCTCTTGCATACTGCAGGATGAGAACATTCAACGTCTCGAACAAAGGCATTCAACGTCTTAAACAAAGGCTTTCACCACATAGAGAAAGCATTTAAGGAGGAAGAAATTACTTACACAAACCTGTGGGCAAAGAAATTACCACAAAAGATCTCCATACTCAAAGAAAAGAGATCCAGACACATGATCCTAAGCAATCCTCAAGGCTACTCGGTCGCCTAAACATTTCCATCTTAGCCTGTAGATGGAGAACAAGCTTTAAAAACTAAACACAAAACAAGATGAAGTCTCTCCTGTGTTCACTCAGCTAATGAAAACTTAATACCAATACCCTTGTAAACACGTGATCGGTTCCTCCTTGAGTAACACAGTAACAACCACTGCCCTCTGGAAACAACTTGCCCATTTACAAGTTCAGAAAACAATCTGCTAAATCTCCTCTTCAACACTTAAAGGTTTTCTCTTTTTCTAATTGAATTTTCCTAATACAAGACTTTGACTTCCTGAAAGGAAATTTTGGCCACACCACTGACAAATTATTTTGGAAGCAATGAAGTGGAAGCACAGTGCCAGCTCGCTTGTGATTACTGTAACCCCTCAATTCACCCAAAACAGTTACTGTCTGACTTTCTTCCTATCCCCAAATTCTAAGCTTCGCAGCTCACCTTTTACATACTGTACTTAAATGAAATACTGTCATAGATAGCTGCCTTAAAAACACATTTGTGGTAGATTCTTGTCAGTATCAAGCATTAAAAACTCTTAAAAAACCATATACTGTGTCTTACTAACTAACAAGACTACTGGAGTATTTTCCAAAACCTTGTCGGCCCATTGCACCCCAATGTGCCCCACTTTATTATTTTATTCTGTCTTTATGATTTATCTTTTTAATTTTTTCATTAATGTTTGGAAATTCTTTGCTGCCTCAAACATGGGGTTCCAATGTAGGTTGTACTTTAGAATAAACTATGATGGCTCAAAATGTTGCGAAGCAGTATCTGTGAGTCTTTGTGGTTACTTGATTGTAGGGCAGCTAAACTATGGCAAATCGGGCTGGAGCACACGCTCATTCTTTTGATTTGGCAATAAAAGAAGCACGACAAATGGCAAATTCACATGGTGCTCATTTGCAAAAACAACTGCTCTAATTCTTTCTGATCTCATCTGAGAGTCGTTGGCCTCAACAGCCTTTGATTATCTTTTTCAGGTAGTTCAGACACAAATTACAACAAACTCCTTGCTACTTCCCTCGAAATATATTTATTAACAATGCAATGCTCCCAAATTTACCCATCTTCATTATTTTACTCTAATAATTATTTTACTCATCAAGGCAACCCTTGAAAATCCAGAAGTTTCAGGTCAGCGAAAAATTGCCGCTAAAAACGAAAACTCTCAGGTTGGCAAAATGTTCAAAACAAACGCATAACAAAATGTTGCTAAATTAATTGATGAATTTGATACTCACAAAAGCGTATTCTGGCAAGTTGAATAATCACGCTGATAATGAGTTTCAAGGGCTATCTAGGGGAGTTTTGTGCATTAATGGATGAACCAACTATCTTGTTAAGAAGCTGCAATACGATCTGACTCTAATGTATTATTTTACTCCGACTAACACCAGACAATTTTACTCATCATGGGGAGAGTGCCTTAATACCCTAACGGCTCAATTGCAGCCCATGAGCAAAGAAAAGATAGTTTACCTGCTAATTTGTCTGTGTATATACACAGGAAACAGACAGATTATCTGTCAAGACAAGCTATCTGTGTTAAGTTCATCTACACAGATGAACTTGTGTGCATAGTTAGTCCTGACGGATGACCAATTAGAATTTGATAAACTATCAAGAAAATGCCAGGCATAATTGCACTATTCTAGCTATTTTTTCTTGATAAGTCATCACATGTTTACACTAAAATGGATGTTCTGTCAGATGATACGCCCTGACAGATTACAGCTAATTGCAGTTGAGCTTGCAGCTTGCATTTTAAACATGTTGGTACATCGTTGAAAAGTATGCGTTCATCCCTTGGAAACACGCCATTGCTAGGGGCGTAACATGAACTTTTGGCTGGCGTTGTTGAACTTCTGAAGGGTGTAAACATGTTTTTCTATTGTTGCCGTTGACAAATTAAATTATGTTTGTCACAAATTAAAATCCGTGCTTTTTATAGCATGGAATTCTAATTTGACTACAGGGATTCTTTAATATTTACTGTTCATCGCAGGCTTAATTAAGCATCGTTTTCACAACAACATTGAACTTGTTATATGTTTGTTTGTAAACCCTTCAGAAATTCAACAATGCCCGCCAAAAATGCACGTTACACCCTAGATTTGTGACATAATTATCAAATTGGTGTAATTGTGAGACTCCCAATACATTTGCATGTTGTAATAAGCTTGTTCTTTATAGTTCCGGTTTGACTACCTCACAGTTGTCACAGATGTTCGTTGCGGGTGACAGGTTAGGGTGAATGTTAGGAAAAATGGAGACTTGTTGGTAAATTGATCTGTAGAATTGAGTTGGTCGGTAAAGTGAAGTTGCCGTAGAGGTACACCCCCTGCTTGGAATGGTCTTGGTATGCCACTGGCCAAATTTATTGACATCACCGGCAACAAACGCCATGAGATAGTCAACCAATTACAGTTCATTGTACCCAAGTAATATGATGTTTGATGTCATGATTTTGATGTCACATGTATTCTGCTATTACTTGCGCAAGGTCACTATAAAATACCCTTGTAGCCAAGCATGTAAAATGCAAAATTGCAGACTTGCATTTGGCCGGATCTCACAGACATCAGGTGAAATCAGACCATATCTTCCACTGTAAAGTATTAAAATCGCTCAAAATTGCATGCCGCACTATATTTCGTCACTTACCATCTCGTTTTCACATAGCAAAATACCTTCATCAAAATTGACACGACAAAATTTTAGCAGACTTTTCACTCCTTTTGCGTCGCAAAGGTCGCAATATTTGTCCTTCATGACACCAAAAAATGTCCAGCCATGTCCGGACAGGCACTAGGTAAATCTCCCTTGCCAACTATACAAGGTCTAAGCCATATAAACATCACATTTTGAAGAAAGTATCCAAATTATAAGATTTTCCATGTGGGGCCATTTGCAACAAAACGTGCAAGGAGCGTTCGTCTGCGTCACGTGGGAGCCTGGTGCTACATATTTCTCGGGATACGTCATGTTAGCTAAAACAAAATTTTGGCGGGCATTTGTGACCATTAATTTTGTATTTTTTTGGTTTGAATAGTTTTTATTTTGTATTTTTATTATTTTACCCTGTAGTTAACCGGATGGTTTTACTCTCCAAGGTTTAGACTATCTACGCCTTTCCTTAACGTATTAAGTGGCAATATGCCCAAATGCGCTTTATGCGCCCTACTTTGTTATTAATATTTCACTCTGTCTAATGCCAGACAAGTTTACTTGTCAAGAGGAATGGTTAAAAAATGTTTCATTAAAAAAAAATAAGCTGGTGAATTCTACAGATAAATAACGGGAATAGCGGATTGATATAATTATGATAATTATGCAATAATAATTAAAAATTGAATTAATTAACAGTTATACGGGCTCAATATGAGTAAGCGGATTCCCAAACAAACGTAAATAAAATTTAAATTTTTAAATGAAAATGTCGAATATTTCACAAACTCGTGGTTTTACAAAATTTAGCTCTTCTTTTGTGGACGAGAGCTTATTTGGCACAAGAAAAATAACTAGAGAACCTGAAGAACATTGCAAACACTTTGATCCGCCATGGATTACAGAAAAAGACGGCAAAATAAAACGAACTAAACCTCTATTATTTTATTGTCCTTCGATAGCAACGACGCAAAAGACCTTAACAACAGCGAATAAAGGGGAAATCGCGCCTTCTACACCAAAGTCGAAGTCAAGGCCATCTTCAGCAAGAAATAACAAGCAACATATGAAATTTTCACCGTCCTATGTTGACGAATCCTTGTTTAAATCGGCAAGACAAAACGATGAAAAGCCGGCAAATTTTGACCCCCCATGGGTCAGAAAAACGGACAAAAAACCAAGGCCTATACTTTGGGATTATTCAGGGTGTAGGCCTGCAAGTTCTTCCACACAGACGCAGGGAGGGGTGCTTGCAGGTACACATAGGACAGAATCAGCCAGAAGTGAAAGGGGAAAAAGTGGAAGGACTGATAGGATGGGACAGGATAATAGAAGACCTTGGAGATAGCTCGATTCTGCAGGTGTTTCTGAACATTTCAGAGGTGTAGCATTGTCATTCTGGGAAAACTTCAAACCATAGAATACATGTTGATGAATGACATTATTTATTTCATAATACAGAAATAACTACAACCAAAAGCCAGCTTTTATAACAGCATTTTTAGTCACACCCAACTTTGTTATATCTGTGGACTTAAATTTCAGTATATTTATCAGGATTTTATTTTTATTCTATTAAAAAAATGACTTGGAAACCATGATATAAGCTCTGTATCATCCATCCGTGGTATCATCATCAAAATTGGATAGAACAGAATCCAAATTATATCAACAAAAGAACAAATAGACAACTATATTTTATTGAAACCTGAATATGACTCTTAAGAAAAATAGAAATACTATTCTTACTTATTGTATAAAAGAACTTTACCATAATTAATCATCCACCTTAATTAACATTAAATGTTACTAACTACAAATTACAAAATGTTTCAAGATGCATTTCTTTGTTGAACCATTTACTTATACAATGGCATGCCTCCTACAACGCCATCCTCAATTCCGCATTCATCATGTCCACGGAGAATCTTGAAGAATCCTAAAAGGAATTTTGTTGGAAACATTTAGATTACATTTGCACAAGACCAAATTAATTCAGAGCCGTACACAAAGTCATCCCATTCCATTCCTCTGCTTTCATGCGTCCCACATGCGAACAATGAAAGGGAAAATTGGTCTCAGGTGAACAAAACCATAGCCATAAAAATCCCTGAAAGAATTTCCAAGTTACCTTTATCTCCCCAATCAGGATTCCATGAGTTAGCAACAGTCCTGGAAAATGCAGCAAATTACAGTAATTATATTTTTAATATGAAACTATTGCTCATGAATTTTACTTGTTGGCGCATGGGACAATTATCAAATGGGAAAAACTGCGCTGCATGTTTTCTTACCAATATGGTGTTCCATCTTCAACTCCCCATCCAATAATCTTTACAGCATGTCCGCCAAGAGGAGCACCTGCTTTGTGTTGGTATACACCTATACAATAACCAACAATTAATGGAAATAGTTTGAAGAATCAACTAAACTAACTTTATACTGAATAGCTCTATCAGTTATAAACCGTTTCCCCTTCAGATCCAGTAAAGACCACCCTTTACTATTAGATCTAGCATGTGCAGCTGCAGTAAAATCATAAACTGAACTCCCATTCCTTATTGGTGCACTACTGAACAATGTCACCAGAATACGTACCAGAAAAAAACCCTGCAGTGTTTGGTACTGCTCTCTTCTCACATGTGACTGAGATGAAATTATAATCAGACAACTGCATATTGCAGGAATTAAACCTCAGTCACAGAGATAAAAGACACATGCACTAACCAGATCTGTAACTTGGGAAATCAGCGTAAACTGTGAATGCGGCTTCAACTGGGCCATTCTTCATGATTTCTGCTTGGATTTGCTGAGGATAACCCATCACAGAGTATGCACTCTTGCCATAATGTTTATCATCATCGTAGGATTTGCTGTAACCTTGAACAAAGAAAGCAGTAACCTTAGTAAGCATGCATGAATTATGCATCTATTGATCTGATTAGAAACTCGTTAATTTAGCATTGCTAATTACCAGAAATACAATCTTTCTTGCATGGTGGTGTTGGTAGGATAGAACCACATGGTTTAAGTTTTCCCTTGACATGGTGATCACAAGATGGGATTTTGTATGGTTGGCAACCTTGGCTACTGTTGTACTGTCCACCAGTTACAATACCAGTCTTCTTCCAGTAATCCCTAAGAAATGGTTAATGACATAGTATAGTGAGACTTGGTGAAGTTTGTCTAATAAACCAATGACAACCAGACTAACCTAACTACATTTATACTGGATTAAGAGCTCTATAAGTTGTAAACAGTTCTCCCTAGAGGTCCAGTAAGGTCCCTCACAAAGGATTATAATTATAGGAGAAAACCTGCAAATCAAACACCACACAATTGATTTAAAACTCTAAATTTTACAACCACATACCATGCAGCAATTGGGTAACCACCATTACATCTACAAAGGAAATAATAAAATTTAAAGAAACATTTAAACAAAGCAAACTATTAAGTTAAAATTACTATAAAAGTAGACACTATATTAATTTACCCCATTCCACAAGTGCTACAGCATGTTGCTAAGTCCTCCGCAGACAAGTGAGCTTTCACTTTTCCTTGTGAATGAATACATATACGATCCGTCATTGACTCTACAGCACCAAATGCCTGCAAGAAAAGTAACTGGTTAAATAATTGTTTGCTATTACTTTCAATTGTTGTTTTCGTGCAATATGTACATTCTGTTCTCATGTGAAATGTTAATATGACGTTTTTCACGAGTAATAGGTTTTAATTGATTGCCCAATCACGTACCCAACAACTTCCGCATGATCCTTGATCACGAATCTCATTCAAACTGGGACAAGTGCCTCCCCATTCTTTTCGTCCATCAAATTCATCAGGAAGAACCAACTCATCCACCATGTGAACATACTCTGAAAACAAAAAAACAAGGTTTACACAACAGGTCATTTGAATTATGAACAAGCTTTCGTTGGTCAGATGCAGCTACATGAAAATATATAAGAATTTCAGCATTCCGAGCAAAGGCCCTTTGTCTGGAGCTACTAGCGGAACTCCAGACCAAGGGCCTTCGCTCGAAATTCTCCTTATATTTTTCAGGTAGTTGCATTGCTACCAACGAAAGCTTGTTCATTTGATTGCCACTGGCAAAGACAGTTCAAGGTTTGTATAATGGCCTCTAATGGTCTCTGTCAGGAGGCGATGCATGTTGAGATAGGTATATGATGCAGTCACTCACATAATTTTCAAAACAAATAATGTCCCTGATTATGAAAACATTGCCATGTTTATGTCCAATATTGTCACCTGTCAGAGTTTGCCATAAAAGGGGCTCTGTCGATGATTGGGTCAAAATTGTGAAATGTATGGACTAAAAATTGCAGCATGTAAACAAACCCCAAGATAAGTAAAGGTGCATCACAATATGACTGGTTGTATACGATTCTTATCCTGGTGCATCAGTACTCGAATACATGTAAAGATGTCACATTTCATTATGAACTGATGAACAGGAATAATTGACGTCAGCAGTCATTTTTATACGCCAGAATAACAATCGTATATAGGACTTAGGTCGCATCGTGTAAATGGGTCGAATTAAGATTGACACAAAAATCATTTTGCATGAATCATGTGATTGGAATGTTAGGCCAAACTACCTAATATGTAAAAGAATTACATAATTTTGTGTCTTGAGAAAGTTAATAATTAACTAGTGCATAAAGTGCTAAATTTATCCACACAACAATCATTCGACATGCTGGGCTTTCATTTCTATAACAATTTTTTTTTTCATTTGTATTTTCAAAATACTACAATAGTACGTTTTAAACTCTTTTGGAAATATGTGACAATTTGACAGTACTTAGAAATTAGGCTTTTTCCGGCGCAATCGTGAAGCTAGAATTGTACATTGTACAAAAGTGTGTAAACCTTTTATATCACAACATACCTGGGAGTTTTAAGTCATTAGGAACCTCCAGAAAAGTGCCGAGCAAACCTTTCAAATACGGAGTCGTAGCCCCCTCGAGATTCTTGCCAGCCTTCCACGTTGTGTCGAGACTATTAATATAGTCGATAATCTCTTGCGACAGTGGTTCAAAATGAACTGGAATATGAGAGTGTGCTGAGCAGACGGCCACAAAAACCAGGCAAAAAGCTTTGAAAATCATGTTGAATGCTTGCTTGGCTCTCGACGTCAAGATGCCAACAAGTTTTGAATCGTATGACAAGCTCGTGATACAGACTCGTGACTTGAGGAATGTTTGTTTATAAATAGTGTTTTAAAGGAATTTGATTGGTTGATTTCAAGTATTTTGCAACTTTAATTCAAGATGCTAACACGTGCTTGTTTGCTTGACGTCATTAAGATATATATTGACTTTACAGCCCTTTTATATCAGTTTATCTTGCTTTCTTGTTGCAAATGACATATTGACGAAAACATACAGTTATATCAGTGAATATAAAAGACCTTGATATAATTAGCAACAAGATAAAAGTCTCTGAAGCCGATATCTGAATCTCGGCAGTGTATATTGGTTACGAAATTATTTTTGTGGCTTGCCGGTATACAGAAAAAAATATAAGCATAGTGCCATGCCATCCAGTTACGATTTCAGTGATCAGCGAATGTTTTATTGTCTTTTCATTTTTCTTTTAAAATCCCACTGCTCTCCATGCCATCCAGTCATGATCCAGTGATCAGAATGTTTCATTGTCTTTTCATTTTTCTTTTAAAATCCCACTGTTCTCTTTGCCATTTAGTACTCACAGCAGTTTAACTTATTGACTTAAGATCTTAGCATAAAATGCGAAAGCTATTTGCGTGGTGACTTCATGATCAAAACCACATAATTATTAAATTCTGTATTTAAAATAATACATTTATTAAGTATTCTGCAGGAAAATCAAAACAAAATAACTATCTATACACCCCTCGCCGTTTTAATCATACCGTATAAACATATAAACTAATGAAGCTTATAAATAACAAAATTTACGTACAAATTTTGAACTAAAATGTATGTAAAACTAAAATGTACATGTGAACGTCATATTCGACAAACCACGCTGACGCTTCACCAATTCAGCAAGTAACCTTGTCGATTCTCACGTCACTTTGCAAAGCCAAGTTTGTTGTGAATATTCCCAATCACGTTTCTAAATTTTCAAAAGCAATGAAATTTCAAAACCAACTTCGCAAGTTGCTAACGGACGATAATGACACAGAGTAGATAAGACATACAGAGACGTAACTGACCGTTGTAAACACTGCGGAAGATTACGTCTTTGATTACGTTATCATGTACCCACTTTTTTTCAGGCGACCGGGCGAAAAATGAAAAATGACTGCCCGTGCTCAGCAAGTTTAAAGTGAGTCGTCATCAGGTCGTCATCCAATCAGATGCATGCATCTAGTAACTTGCCGAACATGCGCACAAAAAAGTGGGTACACTAGCTACGTCTCTGTATGTCTCTACTCTGTGATAATGATGATGATGGTGATGATGGTGATGATGACGTACCATTAAAACAACACGTGTTGTTTCACAACTCCGTACTTCTTGCTGGAGATCTGACCAAACAAAAACGGTCTGCAATATCCTTTCTACCGACCCTGACATCAACTAAAGCTGCATGCAATCGCCTGTATGTCGCATCACTGCCTTTCTGTTGCTTCCATCGCTCAAACATAACGGTCGTTTTTGGTACGACTCGGCCTTCATCTTCGTCAATAATATTTACATCATTATCATGCGATAGTAGCAAGCGTCCCAGAGGTTTCCATTCATCTGTAACCTCACGAGCCATTTCATCGAGAACGTTTTGATCAGGGCAACCTAAGAAATAAACTATATTTATACTTCCCCATATTGGAGTCGAGTAAGAGAAGTACCCTTAAATACAAGAAGAAACTAAACTAACTGTATTCATACTGGATTTCTCCATCAGTTCTAAACTGTTCTTCCTAGAGGTCCAGTAAGGGCCATCTCTTATTGCTCCAGTGTTACTACAGAAGGAAACCTAAATTAAACTAACTGTATTTATACTGGATAGCTCTATCAGTTCTAAACTGTTCTACCTAGAGGTCCAGTAAGGGCCATCTCTTATTGCTCCAGTGTTACTACAGAAGGAAACCTAAACTAAACTAACTTTATTTATACTGGATAGCTCTATCGTGCAGTTCTGAACTGTTCTCCCTAGAGGTCCTACTACAGGAGGAACCTAAACAAATCTAAGTTTATTTATACTGGATAGCTCAATCAGTTCTAAACACACGAAGTGTTTAGCAGAGTGAAACTGGAAGCATTTCTCTCACAATAAATTACCGTCTTTGATGAGTACATTCGAATTGCCATCTGTTTCTTCCAGCTCCACTAGAAAAATAAAAAATAAAAATATACTGAAATCTTTAAATTATAAAAGTCGCCGTTTGTGTCTGAACTATCTGAAAAAGATATTTCAGACATGGTGGTCCAATGTAGGTAGTATTCTTCAATAAACTGGCGTGCTTTGTGTCTGAACTACCTGAAGAGGATTTAAAACAGCCTTTCGAGCGAAAGTTCTTCACAAGTTTTCAATATTGGCTTAAAACTTCTTCGAAATGTCGAAGTGTGTTCAAACTTTTCCCAACCATTGCAGCTTATTGCAGATTACTAGAAATAAAATGACCCCCTAGTCTTTGAAATCTTAATTCCTACCCACCTCTAACATCCACAGGGTGCTGTTGGGATAAAGATTCACATTCGTTAGAAATGCTGAGCAATCCTTTGTGGGTTTCCTGATGATGGTATTGCACCGTCAGTGTGCTACACTCCCCGTGAGAGTCATCTTGTTGCTCGCATTGTTGCAATGTAATGTCCACTTCAGCAGACAACGTAGCACCTCGAATGCAAACCTCGACCTTAATTTTGAGATCCAACGCGTTATCCTCCATGGAAACAACACATTTCTGAGTGAAGATATTATCCGACTCTTCGAAGCATAGGGATTCCTTAAGAACATTCTCTGTCGAGAAACTAAACTGCACCAACCGAGTAGGGCAAAAGGAAACATATTTTCGCAAGCAATGAAGAAGATTTCCTAAATCTTGTTGGTGAACGCGATCCTGGGAAAGTTCATCACTCGCCATAAAACGGTAGTAATACCGTATCCTAGTTGCAAGGCATATCCACTCTTTGTGCGTTATAGGAAGCTTTTCAAGAAAGCGTTCAAAACTTAAAGTTCTGCACCAGTGGTCAAAGTCATCGCTGTTGATTGAATTCTTCTCACAAAGATTTTTCAAAAGTTTTGCGATTTCACGCAAAACAGCGGTGCATTTCATCTCCTGGATTGCCTCGTAAGTGCCAATTTCACATTGCAAGCCCCATAAACCTATAAAGATGATGTTAAACTAAATTTTCCATACCAGATCTATATATAACATTATAACTTTATCTGAAACAGTATCCACAGGGGTTCAGGAGCAATCCTAGCTAAACAAACTTCATACTGGAAAGCTCTAGCAGTTCTAAACTGTTCTCCCTAGAGGTCCAGTAAGGATCATCTCTTGTTGATCCAGTGTTACTACAGCAGGAAACCTTAACTAAACTAACTTTATTTATACCGGATAGCTCTATCAGTTCTAAACTATTCTTCCTAGAGGTCCAGTAAGGATCATCTCTTATTCATCCAGTTTTACTATAGAGGAAACCTAAACTAAACTAACTTTATTTATACCGGATAGCTCTATCAGTTCTAAACTGTTCTCCCTAGAGGTCCAGTAAGGATCATCTCTTATTCATCCAGTTTTACTATACAGGAAACCTAAACTAAACTAACTTTATTTATACTGGATAGCTCTATCAGTTCTAAATTATTCTCCCTAGAGGTCCAGTAAGGATCATCTCTTATTGATCCAGTGTTACTACAGGAGGAAACCTAAACTAAACTAACTTTATTTATACTGGATAACTCTATCAGTTCTAAATTATTCTCCCTAGAGGTCCAGTAAGGATCATCTCTTATTGATCCAGTGTTACTACAGGAGGAAACCTAAGCTAAACTAACTTTATTTACTGAATACTGGATAAATACTGTACATATTGTAAATCGGGCTGACAAGTCACTGTGTCTACTTATCATAAAAAATTAAAATAATATACCCGTGGGTTCAATGACAGGGTGGACTTGAAAACAATCCTTCACAACTTGAATTAACCAAGGAATCCAATCAAACAGTTGTTGACAAAAACGCTTACACAGCGAACCATTGCATTTATCATGATCATAACTTTCGAACGCCTCCACCAACGCGTTCAGTTTTTCCACCACGTGCTGGGGATAATACTGTGCTAGAATTTCCGAAACCTTCTTCATCACCACGGGATCCATTTCCAAATTATCGCGACCTGAAACAAAGCGAACGGTACCTTCGGAATGGTCTGTTTGAAGCAAACAGTCACTGAAGACAGACTGACAAAGGCTTTCACCATTTTTGGCCATCGTTTTAAGGTGCAAGTCTTCTCCCAAAGGAGGAGTTTCGCTGTTATTTATGTGATGACTCCATTTTTGACGAAATTCTGAGAGATGGCCAAGATGAGATTTGCCTCGGTCTGAGACTAGGAAAGCTAAACGAAAAGAGAGATTATTAGTTAATGGACATTTTTTATTGATCCAATGTTACTACAAGAAGAAACCCAAACTAAACTAACTTTATTTATACTGGATAGCTCTATCAGTTCTAAACTGTTCTTCCTAGAGGTCCAGCAAGGATCATCTCTTATTGATCGAATGTTACTACAAGAAGAAACCTAAACTAAACTAACTTTATTTATACTGGATACCCCTTTCAGTTTTAAACTGTCCTTCCTAGTTGTCCAGTAAGGGTCATCTCATATTGTTCCAGTGTTACTACAGGAGGAAACCTAAACTAAACTAACTTTATTTATACTGGATAGCTCTATCAGTTCTAAACTGTTCTTACTAAAGGTCCACTAAGGATCATCTCTTATTGATCCAATGTTACTACAGGAGGAAACCTAAACTAAACTTACTTCATTTATACTGGGTAGCTCTATCAGTTCTAAACTATTCTCTCTAGAGATCCAGCAACAGTCATCCTTTATGTGTCAAATGTTAGTTACTAACTATGAACCACCCACTCCCGCTTACAAGGGGTTTGACTGTATAAACAAGTCTACCTTGACGTTGTACCGAAGCAACAAACTCGCCAAGTTGAGGAAGTTCATTATTTTCAGCTTTTCCAATCCAAATTTCTGTAATCTTCTTCAGTTGTTCCTCTTCATCTCCCTCCGTCCTTTCCACAAAATCATTCACCTCCCCCTGATTTAGCCCCAGAGCGCTGGCTAGTGGTAACATGTTGGTGTACCTGAGACTGGTCAGTTCGAGGACATCTTGAACGTACCTTGTTGGTTCTAGAATACACAATTACAACAACATTTATTTGTGTCTATAAGCATTTTACACTCTTTCAAAAACTCATTAATAATTCATGAAGCAATTATCCAATCTTGAGTAAGAAATTAGTCACGTGCATACGTCTTTATACCAGCTAAAGAACACTTTAACAAAAGACCATTGTTATGCAAACTATATAAAGATTTTTATATAAAGATTTTTATATAAAGATTTTTATATAAAGATTTTTATATAAAGATTTGACTTATTATGCAAACGTTTTTGAAGCCACCTGTTGCTTAAATGACCATAATGGGCTAACTTAATAAGCAACCGCAACAGTTGTTAGTGGATAAACAGTTTAAGAAAGGGTGCTCTGGAGAGAACAGTGTAAAATTAATATTCAATTTTCCTACCGTGTTGCCAAAACTGAAAATGGTACTTTTGACCAGCAGTTCTTTTCATCACAACAGTTCCACTCACTGGTTTATCGTTTTCGCAACTAGCGTCCAGTTCCCAGCTCGCGACGTCCTCACCACCAAAAACATTCTCTACAGTACACGGCTTTGGCGGACAAACACGATCACCCATTAGCCCTTCGATTGAAAGTTCTATGTTCTCTTGTGGGCTGATATACTCTCTCCTACTGCCGTACATTTCGCAAAAGCCTTCTTCCTTTAATTTATGACAGATGCAATTGTCCTCAAAGAACTTCTCGCATGAGTTTCGGTAAAACGAATCACGAACCATAACGATACGAATTCGTAACCGTTTCTGTTCGCTCTCGTCTCGACGAACAAACACAATAAGTCGAAAAAACGCTGCTTGCAAGTTCAAATATGTTGTGACATACTCGTAGGCGAAGGAAGGGAGACTCGGGAGACTCTTAACGAACGCGAGTGCCGAGAAATGATTGATATTCACCGTGACTGTAGTAGAATTATGAAATGGCAATAATGTTTTCTCAATGTTTTCCCAGATATATTTGTTTGTTTCCTTGTCAAAAGTGCCATGAAGTACCGTTATATCTTCGCTTTGGTGCAAGGCTTCGGGTAGGGTAACCTTGACGACGACATTTTCTTGGAATGTCAACCCAGAAGGCCGAAGTTTGTAGACGTCTCCAAGAATTGTTACTTTATCTTGAATATCGTTGTCTATTATTTTCTGGTATAGCTGAGTTGGGTCGATACTTTTTATGGAGATTTTCGTATCGTCGCGTAATGCTTGCGTAGGGATTGTGACATGAGCATTGGTTATTCTAAGATCTCCTCCTTGGCTGTCCACGTGTTTTGCTTTCGTTCTTCTGACGTTTGAAGGTTTTACTGTCAAGAATAAAAGAACAAAATTAGTATCTTTACACGAGTTGTGTAGGCGGGTTTCGTCACGTGTTTCGTTAATCACTATCGTGCAGCAGATGGTGAACCAACGTTATACTGTAATAGGATGAAAAGTAAGTAATTATTTTCATTATATGTGTAGTATATGGGGGCTTCGGTGGCCAAGTGGTTAGCGCACTTGCCTTTCACCTCTGAGGCTGCAGGTTCGAGTCTCACCAAGTACCTTCTCAGTGCGACTCGAACCCAGTCCCCATGTGAAAAGAGTAAAAGTCAACGCTCTGCCGAAAGCCGTGGGTTCTCCCCGGGTACTCCGGTTTCCTCCCACAGGGAAAGTTGACAGGGTGGGTTAGGTAAATAAGGGCCCACAGTAATTGGCATATGCTGTTGTGGTGACCCTGCCCTAGTTGGCAAAGCTAAATAAATAAATAAATAAATAAATAAATAAGTATATTGTATTTCTGCCCGCAACTAGCTAAGCGTCAACCGAGTCAATTGACTTGGTAAAATGTTTTGCGAAAAAATTCAAAACAGGAAGACTTCAAGTTTAGAGAAAACAGATCCTGAATGAAATTTATTCAATTTCTGATGAAGGGTAGAAGTAAGAATTAGCGTCGCAAATATTACCACAAAGACGTTTTTTACTATGCACCTGATCATGTTGGACCAAGAGTACTTGAATTCTTATTATTGGATACTCGTAGTACAATTGTGAGACACACTATGAAATTATAGTCATTGTGTCACGGTTTATCACTACTGATTTTTTATTGAAATTGCTCCCAGAATGCAGGAAATAGCGTTTCTAAGCATTAGAAAATCAAACATGCCCCGACGACTCGACTCGGTAAATCTAAAATCTTAGTTACGGGCCTGGACTATTGGATACAGATAAAATAAATTGAGAGAAGTAGTTTAATTTTCTTGTTCCTATAAGTATCAACATTTCTGAAGCTGACCACCAACTGCTACCCAAATGGATACCAAAGAGGCAATCATTACCTTTCTTCGAGGAAACATGATCAGACCCTGTCGGTAACATTTCCTCAACATCTTGTGAGCTGAAGTATTCTCCACTTGTATCTGAAATAACAAAACAAATAGAATATACTTAATATATACTGTATAGTCCCACTTTCGTTAGCAGTTACAAAAAAAACAAACTATTAGACGTACAGAGGAAGGTTAAATTTTTAATTTAACAACGTGGAAATTTGTATTTTTGCCGCTCTCAGGCTAGCGAGAATCTACCACAGAATACGACTTTTACAGTACCACCACACCAACAACAACTACAGCGACACAAACGACAACTACCACGGTCACCACCACCCACCATCATCACTAACATTGTCAAAAACATCAATACCACCAATCCACCATTACCACAATCATCACTGTCAAGGCCACCATCACCACCGACACAGACATCACTATCACACCACCACCCACCATCACCACCACTCACCATCATCACTAACAAGTCAATAACCTCAATACCACTGTTACCACAATCATCACCACCACTAACAAAGAACAATACCTAGTCCTCCTGAATGCGAGCTATAATATTCAGTGGAGTCATCACTCAGGCTGTCCATGTCATCTTCATCTTGAACATTTCTGCCATCTGCTACATCCTGGTCAACTAAAAGAGAAAGATTATAATAGTGGTGTTGGTTAGTGTATGTGCCTACAAGCTCTGTGACTGAGATTCCACTTCTACAATATCCAGTTGTCTGATTATAATTTCACCTCAGCGGTCACATGTGAGAAGAGTGCTGCCAGTTTAACTGTGGATGCTTTGGTTTCCTCCTGCAATAACACTGGATCAATAAGAGATGATCCTTACTGGACCTCTAGGGAGAACAGTTTAGAACTGATAGAACTATCCAGTATAAAAAAAGTTAGTTTAGTTTAGGTTTCCTCCTGCAATAACACTGGATCAAAAAGAGATGATCCTTACTGGACCTCTAGGGAGAACACTTTAGAACTGATAGAGCTATCCAGTATAAATAAACTTAGACAAGTGTAGTTTTGGATATTTGCTGTAGTCGAAACGGAGCACTAACGCCGAATAGTCTTAACTGGATCTCTAGGAAGAAGAATTTCTAGAACTTATAGAGAGCAATTCAGCAAGAATAAAAAGTAACTTACCGAAATTAAACACGAGATGTCCAAGTAATTCAGCAGCCGTTGGTCTCAAAGAAGCAATTACATTTAAACCTTGAGCAAAGAGCTCTTGTACACGTTCACTGCACTGAGGCAACGTCGGGGGGCGCTTGGCTGAACCAATCTAACATGAAAATTCACACATATAAATGCGTTTCAAAGATTTATTGAGTTTCTCACTCATTGGTTTCATTTCCAATAAGTTATTGACTTATTGCCCAAGGGATCGGGGTACCTACGATTTAATGTCTTTATCAGAGAAGACGTGAAAGTCTAACCATTTACTGAAGATGTCAATGTAAAGGTAGCTAGTAGCTCTTTCTCCTCAATTACTGTAAGACCTTGAGTAGAGGTCCGACCAAGGATTGAACTCGGCAAGCGTGGTGACCATGACACCACAAGAGCTGGTTGCCAAAAATTAAACTGTAAGATGACGTTATTGTATGACGTAATATTATATGACGTTATTCTAATCTACTTACAACAAACAGTAATCCATCTCCTTGATGACGATACTCTTCCCATGGTGCTTTGGCACTCAACATTTGAATAAGTAGACACATGGCGCTCCAAATATCCGAGCTAGGAGAAGGAGCCTCAGAACGACAAACCTGATAGTTGAGACACAAAACTAGTGAAAACATGTAGATCAGGTAGTTCCGACACAAACCACGACAGCTAAATTATTGTAGAATATTACCTACACTGCATGGACCACCACGTTTGAGATATCTTTTTCAGGTAGTTCAGACACAAACCACGACAACTTATATACTGTAATTGTTTCTCAGCATGCATATAATGTATGTTCAAGCTTAAATTGACTTTCCTACCTCAGGTGCCATAAAAGCAAGAGTACCAGCTAGTCGCAAAGGGCGGCCACTGTTCTCCATAGAACGTAAGTCTACACAGGATCCAAAATCTGCGAGTTTGATATTCAGACACATGCAATCCATCAGAATATTTGCAGCTAGAAAATAAGTGCAAAAAAGTGCTTAATGTCAGTTTAGTCAACTCGATCTACCAGACAGGTTTGATCTTGAGGTACTCCAGTTTCCTCCTGTAGTAACACTGCATGGATTAATAAGAGCTAGATGATCCTTACTGGACCTCTAGGAAGAACAGTTTAGAACTGATAGAGCTATCCAGTATAAATACAGTTAGTTTAGTTTAGGTTTCCTCCTGTAGTAACAATGGATCAATAAGAGATGATCCTTACTGGACCTCTAGAATGAACAGTTTAGAACTGATCGAGCTAATCGCTATCCAAGTTAGTTTAGTTTATTAGTTTTGTTGAAAATCTTCATTCTACCTTTGATGTCTCCATGTATGATGTGAAGTCTGTGCATAAACTTCAGGCCTGACAAAACTTGCTGAAGAATTCGTAAAGCCATGGTTTCATTCAGTGCACCATTTTCTGCCAGATAATCTGCTACTGAACCACCTATATTTAACAAATATAAAACATTTTCCGTGTTGATATACAGTTATATCAACACGAGTGTTATTGGGAAAACGAGAAATTGTATGGAAACACGATGCCCGAAGGGCGGAGTGTTTTCATACAATTTTGAGTTTTCCCAACTTCCACGAGTGTTGATATAACTATATATCAATACGGAAAAAATGTTTTATATTTTTTTTATAATATAGCAATGTCAAAAGCCTGAAGGGTAAGAAAAATTTCTGTGTTTACAAGCGGCGGAAAATTTCCCGTGTTGACATTGAGTTATATCAACACGGCTCTTAGCCAATCAGCGTTCAGAATTTACAAATGCTATATTATAAAGTGCAATATAACTCAAGGTGAGGGTGCAATATTTCACCCCAACTTATTGAATGATAGCATTAAGACTGACAGACTGACCAACCACTACAAATGAAAGTAAGGTATATTTACCATCCATATATTCCATAAAGATCAAGACTCGTTGTTTGCGCTTGATAGCTCCATAAAGATCCAGGACATTTGGATGTTTCCCACTCATTTTCCGCCATACATTTATCTCATCTTCTTCAAAGTTTAAAACAGGTACCTGGTAAAAAGAAGAAACGTTCTTAAAAAGTGTGTTCGACTCGACACTGTTATGCAAGAGATGTGGTCAACATAGTACTGTAGTCAAGATGTATTTGCATGGTGGCAAAAAATAGAATTGAAGATGAATAGAAATTTGCTTCATGTGTTCAGATAATTCCCTCCTGGTTGTAAGGGTTACTGAAAACATTTGCGTAACTACTATGGGCTCGGACCGGGAGAACCCGGGGGCCCCCAACCGCAATGGGAGCCCCCAGGCTCAGGCTATAGCCTATAGAGCAACAATGCCGTTTTTTGACCATCAGAATTCTGTAAAATCTCTTCTTAAAGTCTGGGAAATGGCATTTCAGAGAGTCTAGATTCAAACATTTTCTGGGTGAGCATGCCCTGGACA